GTGACCTCTCGACGTCCGAAAGTTCGGCTGCCCAACGGATTCAGAAAGTTCAGACGATCCCCAATAGCAGAAATCTACAACGTCTCTGCCTGCAACTTTAAAGCCGTAAGTTTAATCTTAAACCTCTAGATCCGCCGCGCGTAGGTTTATCTTTTATTATTCGTTTCGTGACTTGTACATAACGAGATCTTCACGGGTCCCAACACGTGGGATTCTTGACCATGTTCGACCACCAACTTAGTATACCTACACACATCAGACGCCCGCAGTGACCTGCCAACACCTGTAGCAGCTCGCACGACCCCAGGCGCACGACGATGCTATACATCGAGGTTGGGTGGCCTGGGGGCAAGTCAGACCTAAAAGAGAGGTCGAATCAGACCTCAGCGCAAGGTCAATGACGTCCTCAGAAGGTCCATAACATGCATGATGGAATGTCGGTCCTATGACATAGGGATCCCCGGGCTAAAACAGTAAAGGAACGAAGAATCAAAGTAAGAAAGAATGAATCACTTGCTCAAAAGTCTTGCCAAGATAGAGCACGTGGTAAGTTAAGGAAGTAGAATCCCGATAATCCTTTTCCCTAACAAGAACTCTCTTCGGCTTGAAAGTATTAAGTACTATAAACGGACGACAAGTTATCTCAATTTACACAACACACAATCCATGCTTATTTTCTATACCTGTATTCACAGTTGAACGAATTCTGACTTGAGCGTCGAAAAATTTTTCGCCAAGAGCCTCCTCCTGACGTACTGCTGGTTATCAGGAGCTCAGAGTAGAGGATTGCTCAAGGTGGAAGGTGTTCAACCCAATAGTAACCAAATGTGACGTATCAGTGAATTTGGATTTTGCCGCTGAGAAGTTTGGGATTGCTGCAAATCAAAAGGAAATGGAGAAAATAGGAGAAAGGAGGAGAAGACTAGAAGAGTTTGGGTTCTACAATTTGAGATTTGAGAGAGGGGAAAAGAAAAAGATGATGAAATACATAATTAGGACAAAAAATAAAAGGAGATGAAAGAGAAAAATTTTGGCAAGTGATAAGTTCTCTCACTAATCAGGTGCCTTATTTATGGTGTTACAGTCCTTTATAGATATTAACTTAGCAAGACATACTAAAAAGATATTGTGACATTAAAAAAAATAAAAGGCTAATACGGACATAAGATTTAGAAAAATGGTGTTTGGTATAATTTTCTAGTATATATGTATACCAGTAATGCTCACCTACCGACGGTGTACACATGTTAATATGTCCACGGCTTATGTATCAATGTGTGTATGTCACATAAACGGTAGACATATTAACGCCCGCCGTAGGTAGGTGAACATTATCCTATACACCTTTGATTTACTTTATATAATTTATTCCTTTTCACTTTATGTTATGTCCAAAATGTTGCCAACCTTTGATTTACTTTATACAATTTGTTCATTTTACTCTGTGATATGTCCAAAATACATGCCCCCAACACCCAAGAAGCTTTAATACAATGAACACTGTGGACAACTCTTCAGAAGAATCATGCTTATAGCTTTTTCAAACAAGGAAGCAGACAGGAATCTAAAGCCTAATATACCTTCAATGAAATTTTCTATCTAAACGTCTCCATGACTCACTAGTAATGGCATTTTTATTACACAGAGCATTGGCAAGCTCCATGGCCTCCACATGCCATCCCGCGTACCCAATACCTTCGATTACAATATTGTACGAACTCTCGTGTGGCCTGAAACCCTTATATATCATATCCTCCAGCATCAAAACAGCCTCGCTAATCCTACGAGCTTTGCAAAGCCCAAGAAGCACGGTATTGTATGTAATGAGTGTCGGCAAGAAACCGTTCCTTTCTTCCATTTCCTTCAAGAGCTCGATCGCCCCATCAACCATTCCCTCTCGGCACAAACACGAGATGAGCGAGTTGTACGTGATGTTATCCGGGCCGATCCCGTTTGAAATCATATCAGAGACGAGGCCCAACGCCCGGTCCCGGTCCCCATTGTTCCACAGGGCGCTTATCATTATGTTGTAAGTGGTAACTTTATGCGGGCCCTCGTTTTGTGAGAGCTTTGCGAAAACCTCCAAGGCCTCGTCCAGGCTCCCGTTTTTGCACATGGCATTGAGAATCGTGTTGTAGTTGACTATATCCGGGTAACACCCGCTCGTAGCCATGTATTCCAAGAGCCTAATAGCGAGATCCAATCGGCTCATCTTACAGAGGGCAGAGATTAACGGGCCGTACGCGTGTGTCTCGGGAGTTAAACCCTCGTCCTTCATTATCCTCAACACCGTAACAGCCTCGTACAAATGCCCGTCCTCGCAGAAAGCACGTATCAAGAAATTGTAAGTGAACAAGTCCGGCTCACACCCGGCCGAGAACATTTCCTTTACCAGGCTCCCGCCCTCCCTCCATTTCCCCTGATCCAACAGGGCCCGTAACAGGACATTGTATGATATCACCTTCACCTCCAATCCTCTGCCTGTCAGGTCCCGGATGAACTTGAAGGCCAGGTCCATCAGCCCTTCCCGGCACAATGTCCTGATTATAGTGTTGCAAGAGCACGAGTCGGGCTGCAGCCCTCTCTCGAGCATTTCGTCAAACAGCTTCAAGGACTGGTCCGTTTGCCCTTGGAGAATGGTTGCCTCCATTAGAATGGTGTACGTGATGACTGTCGGCAGGAGACCATCCTCCATCAACCGGTCCAGCATGCTCATGGCCCGATCAAGCTTCCCCCGGCGGCAGAGACTGCCGATCATAATGTTGTAAGTGACCACGTTGGGGGAGA